TCCAGTGTCATTATCTGTCGGCTATCATTGCAAAAAAACAAAACAAATTCACATTATAAAAAGTCATCTGATGCACTGTTACGCACATCTATAGCAACTGCAGCACCTTTAATAAAAGTATGATTTTACCAAGACTACTGATCCCAGGCCTGCCAGCACTAGTTAGATATTTGTGGACAGGTTTTGTTAGCAAGGTGCCATCTAAATCAAGGCTACAAATGCAAACACCCTCCATCAGCAAAGAAGAAATCGTGATCACGAGCTGAATCTTGGTCACATCTGAGGCGACGCCTGCTGTTAAACACAACAGGCTGTTAGGTGTCAACTGGATGTCGCCTGCTGCTGCTGCTGCTCGCAAAGCAACTCGGCTTTGTCAGATGGTTAACGACTGACCTCCAGCTCAACCATGTCTTGCTTGTTCTTTTTGCAAAGATGAAAGTTGTCCATTTTTAAGTTAATACCTAACGAGCAACAACTCACAGAAGTGTGTTCTAAGAAGCCCCCCTTTGTTATGCATTGATTCTAACTACATTACCATATGGCAGCAGCCTGCCACCAGAGGCCACTTTGCAAACCCTGAACAAGAACAGAAGCAGAGCCTCTTCAGAGTCTTCAGAGTTGACAAACACATTCACTTTATCCAGGAGAAAATGAGTCAGGGAATTACATATCTCTCTCCTCCACTCAAAGTTTCCACCTTCAGATGTAATTTATATTCATGAGGACATGCTGATGAGTTACACCTTGACCCTTTGTGATTGTGGGTCAGAAAGTAAAACCACTAAAAAACTTTACCTGCCCATTAAATGCACGAAATAGTGTCATCTAATAAGAAAGAATGTCCCTAAATTCATTGCTTTAAAGTTATGACCACAAGAGTAGATAGACTAAGGGAGCACTTCACAGCGAATAGCAAGAAAAACAATATTAATATAATATCTTGATGATAGTGGTAGCAACAGAAGAGTGTCTATAAGGAGATGTTACCACATTATATGAAACCCATAGAGAGGGTGGGAATATTCTGGACACGTGCACTGAATCAACGCCACTCTGACCATGGAGAAGCAGCACTCCATTCTTCAGAGACATGTCCCACCCTCAAGTTTGGATTTTTGTAATGAACGAGTCAACAGGGTGATGAAGCCAAACACCTCAAAGCTTTTCAACAACCACAAAAAACCCAAAGAAGACCAAGGAGAGCTGACCGTCAAAGACTTTCCTGCAGAATGGTCCTGACATCCTGGAATAACAGCGCACAATCACATCTGCTGTAGGAACAAATAAATTCTACAATATTCAGAAATTCCCTGGCATTGTCACTGCTATTGAAGTTAGACTTTATAAAGTGCTACTCCAACACCTCTATCAGCCAAAGAGAGATGGAGGAAATCACCTATCCCCTGTGCTTCATGTGTGGATGTCTGAAGATTGTAGTGTTTAAATAGCTGATAGTAAGTTCACATTTTAAAATGTCAATACTTTTAGTCCTTTTAAAAGTTTTGGTTTACTTAGTATTGCTGTTTCATTATAACGGCTGGACAGTTTTATGGAGTCTTCAGAGAGGGCATCTTTCATTAATGCAAACCTTAAAAAAAAGACTAATAAAAAGGTATTTTATGTACATTTGTACAAGAACATTTAAGCTTGTAAAATGAAATTAAGTTCGGAACAGACTTTTTGGGCTCAGTGTTAGCAGTGGCGACAAACCTGGGAAGGCTTTAGCTAATATTGACACTTAAAGGTTTTAGTACACAGTTCGTGCGTACAGTGTTATGTAGGTTCTGAATTAAACATTACATTTATCTGATTCTAGAACTAATAGCATCCCCAGGTTTCACACAGGTGTGGCTATAAGGAGAAAGCTGCTTTGCATTCAAATTCTGTGATTAGTTAGCTGAGAAATTGGGACAGAAGTAACCCTTACCTCCAATATCCGGTCGCAGTTTCTTGTCATATTCTTTCAGTAAATTATTGAGTATTTCCGTGGCGTCGGTTTGCTGGGATTTAGGAGCCAGCATCTGGTTCACAGTGACATCCTCGTAGTCCTCCTCGGACTCGATTGTTAGAGAGCTACAGGGACACAAATAAAAGAAGGTGGCTGAAAACAGCAGGAGCAATGACACTGACTTAAAACATGCAGCGCAGTCTGCAGAGTGCATGCACGCAAAGACATCGTTAGTGTCACTGAGTCCTTCACGCAAACTTAAGAGCCAGCCACAAAGTTTCCTGAGCATTTAAAGCATCACCAAAACGCATCACGCGACCAAAGGGCGCCGCGCCACTTACCAGGTATGAAGGGCTGAAAGAAGTAGGATATAAGCCAGTAGCGGGGATGTCATGTTTGTCGCAGGAGGACAACAAGTAGAGATGTGTGAGAGGACGGTGCGCAAGGTGTCGGTGTCTGGACGCGACGGTCACTGCTGCTCAGGGGAGAAAACGTAAGAGCAGCCCTTCGTAGTTTGTAATCCAGCAGAAATGTCATTCATTGTTGTGAAATAGATCCTTCCTCGTGGGAGTGCCTCCTCGTATAGACGGAGGAGCAGCTGGTCTCACCTGTACAGGGTTGCAATTCCTGGATAGCGGACGCTGCTTGTGCTTTACGCAGGTGCGCACACTCTGAATGCGTCCCTCTAAAAGCCCCTGGTCCACCAAAAACTCCTCCGTGGCCAAACCTGCGTCACTCCACTGTAGGGGCTACTTTACAGATCTTATTAGAGCTGTTACACCTGTTCTCTTTAGTGGTGTTTTGCTTTCTTTCTAATTATCCGTACAAAGTGCCAAAAGAACGCATCCCTTTGTGAATACAATATAGATTATTTGTATGCAAGGCAGGAGCGTCTGTGTGCATAGATATGATTATTTTTATGGCAGGAACTAAAGTTTCTTATTTTAGTGGATTTTTAAAATTTAAATGGTGCCAAAAACTCTGACAGAACAGTAAAAGTGATACGGGTGATGTCATCTTATTGCCTCTTATGTGCGACCAAAAAGTTCTATATATAAAAATAGAATTTATATTTATTTAATATTTATTATAAGCTAGATATCGATTATCAGATAACAGCCGTTCTCATTTGTCTACTGATTTGCTTTTATTGATCGACTAATTGTTGCATGTGTTTTAATGATGCACCTGTGAGGCAGCCTCTTTGTTATTCATTTGAAAGCTTGCATATCAAAGTGCAGCAAGAGCCCCTTTAAAGCTACCAAACGCTGCTAATTGGCATGCAGCCTCTTAGAGAATGAAGCCGCCTTTGTGGCCGTGTTTGAGATTGTAATTGAGAGCCCTTGTCATGCTGTGTTTACAGCCCCTGTCTTCTCCCTGTGAGGATGTGATTTATTTAAGGCTGGATGCTTAAGGCGGTGCTCCACTGAATGCTGTGCCTCCATAAAGGACTCCAAAGATGGAAAAAAGGCTCAAACATTATGATATTTATTTTCTAGTATGGGTCAAGTTCATAGGCTGTATGATGGAGTTTGATTATTTGAAGGCTAATCCTCAGATAGGCTAAACTGCAGGGGTGAATCAGGAGCAAGCAGACATAACATACTTATATAGTCCTAGAATTTCACTCACCCAAACTGGTGCTCAGACTTCTTGGATGTTCTTTTAGTACAATTAACTGCACATCATCCATATTATTAGTCAGATAACTGCAGAAGTAATGCTCCAAGAGGCACTGACACCACTCAAGAGATCCATTTCTAGGACATTAATAAGTAGATGCCTGCTTTGGTATCCACGTGTCAATCAAAGCACCCAAAGAGGGTGAATTTTTATTACATGCACCCCCTGTGCAGTTGTCAAGAAGGGGGACATTAACTATAGAGCCCAAAACATTTTTTTGTAGTAGGCTGTAGACATGTTTATTTCTCCAGTAAAGTTGGACAATTTAACAGGGGAGTCTATGGGGACTGACTCACTGCTGGAGCCTCAAGTGGACATTAGAGGAACTGCAGTTTTTTTCCACCTCTGTGATGATTTAAATTTTTTAGCCCCAGAGATTGCTGCTTAGTCAGGCTTTGTTTCCCACAATGCAGCTGCCTCCTATGCTCACACCTCCAAAACATGCCTGTTTTCAGTTTCTGTCAGAATAACCCTGATGACAAAACGGATGACATCACCAGGGTGAAACTGGGGACTAGAGAAAGTACTGAAGTGTACCTTTAAAAAATAAAAAACCAAGGGCATGAAGCCCCACCGATGACAAGGCATAAAACAAGCAACCCCATGCTGCAGGTAAAGGTGTTTTCTGACAGTTTTATGATTGACCCTCTTCAGGAGCAATCATAATTTTTCTTCAAAGAACACTCTGATTGGTCCTTGGTGGCATTGATTTCAAATGAATGGCTGGACAATAGAGGAGGAGTTGTCCAGCAAGAACACAAAGATAAATAATCCCTCTGTGCCAGCACTGTAAAGCACGATGAGCAGTGAGCCACAGCAGCCTCACAGGACTCACATGCACGGGCCTGGTTGGATGTGCGCTTTAACAGACCCATAGTGAAGCCTGTCTGCAGTGCTGCTGTCACCCTCTGCTGGTTAAAAGTAGATCTGCACACTCTAAAACACTGAGTGCTGCATGTGCTGCTCTAATTAGGACTGTTCCATCCAAACAAGGCTACAACATAAATCGTCCTCATTATCCTGCTGCTTTAACTGGTCACTAATGTGCTGCCTACTACAAACATACAGGCTCAGTAGACCCAAAGGAAGTGATTAAGGACATGCTAATTTGTATTACCTTTGGCATAAATTGACTTTCAGTGTGAACATCCACAAGAGATATTAATTAATTTGAAAAGTGCTTTACAAATACAATATAGTCCACATTTCAGTGTAGAAAAAATAACGATAGTATAATAATGCCTAAGAGTTTTCACTATTTTTTTCTCCGTTTAAACCTGCGAAACTTGCCAAAGTAATAAGACAGCATCTATGTGATTTTCATCAATCTATTAGTTGGTTATTAAACAGATTGTTTCCCTTTGTAAAGTAACTTTACAGCAACTCTCGGTTCATTGTCACGCAGCGAAAAGTTCAATATTTCACTCACAGGAAGTAAAGCAGGACTGTGTTATCTGTTTTTAGAGTTTTAGCGCTACTTTGAAAAGTTTCTTTAAATGCTGGCCTTTGCTTTCAGTGAAGTGCACACATGCAGATTCTGGTGGTGAGATGATTGACAAGAAAGCGCTGATTTCTAGCATTTTTTGTGACAAGTGGGAATTTGTTGTAAAACACAGCAAAGTTTTAAAATTCTTTGATGAAGAAAAAATGAAACCTGTTTTCAAATCAAACAATTTCTTCCTCGTTCTGTCAGAGGCAGCGTAACCTTTGTTTTTCTACACAGTTTAGACAGTTTATACCACTTAGAAGTTTTCTGCTTATTTCATGGTGCTTCTTTCATGAACTATGCATCAGTGCAGAGACTCCACGCCTGCAGGATACCTGTGATATCAGTATTTGAATGTGTTGTTTTCTTTTTGTTGTTGTTTTTTAAGTCATTTCCTTCTCTGCATACATGACTGCACTGTGTGAGCATCCGTCCAAGCTCTAAATTAAAGTTTGCAGTAAGGCACTGATGTACATTGATTAGCAAGGGAGCAGGATATTGTGCTGACGAAATCAAAGGTCGCACAGAAAATGTCAGAATTTGCAAAGATGTAAAAAAAAGCATTGTGGGGAGAAAAAAAACCCCTCAGAATATCTTCCATACAAATCCTTTAATCAATCCAGCAGTTCAGCATCCTGCAAAGCCTCAGTGATTCATGTTCCTGGTGATGTGAAGATGACTTTGAAATACAATGCTGAAAAAGATGAGGCTGAATAATTTGCTTTAACTTTCAAATGACTTCTTTAAACTCTTTTTTTACCATCCTGTTTATGGGCGCTGGCTGTTATCCTCTCTGACCTCCATTTAACAATGTTAGCTTTGTTATCTTCATTTTTGATCACTTTTCTGACAAATGTGTTTTTGTCCTTTGTCTGGCACCTTGCAACTATAATATAAAACGCTGTATTATTATATTAAAAGGCTTTTGTTAAGCACATGCAATTTAAAACCTGTGAATCAAAGTTAACTAATGATTTTTTTTATATTACACTTCACTTCTATAATATTTCTTCTGAAAGCTTTTTGGTGATTTCATACTTTATCTAGCTCAACACAATGCCTCCACCTGACCCTGAAGGTTGTGCAGTGACTGAATTTTTTTAAAGGTGGAGGAAAGATAAGTGAAAAACAAAATCACAACCACTTTAAATGCTCTGATGTTACAGTCTTTTGTGTTGCTGCAGAGGAAAGTTAGATTCACATATGAATCTTCTAATCAAAATGCACATTCAGCATTTCATGTATCAACTTACACCAGAGAGCTATAAGCACGGGCTATAGATATTTTGTATGATGAAAAAGTAGCTGCATTATATGCCCGAACATAAGGTACAGTGAATGTGTCCTAGCCCTGCTGACCAAGCAGTTTTGGAGACATGTCTTATACAGTATGCATAATGAAAATTTTATTTTTTACTTGGCACAGTAAGTTTCTTTTACTTTTAATAGTTTCCACTTCTGATGTTTGTCCACCATGAACTGTGCCACACCAAATAAGAAGAGCTTGCAAACAAACAGTTTTAAAGGGCTGGACATGAAGATAGGTTTGCATGCTTTCTGCAACTGAATGCTATTTCCAAGCTGCAAACTTGTATTCATGGTTATTATAACAGAACGTGAATGCAGCCTACACTTTAAAGTCAAGTGTATCACATTTGATACATTAATATTCTTTTATTTCATCAGAAGGGTCAATAAACATTTGATTTCTTTTAAAAATCAAGAATTTTCTGGGAATTATTTCATGTTTCAGGCTTTAAAGGCCTGTGATAGTCAATATTAGAGAAAAAGCTTTGATATAACCTGTAGAGACGTGAGAAGGTTAGTGATAGAAACACAGATGTACCTGACTTTCAGTCAGATGACTGCAGTTCAAATCCCGTTTGTCTCAGTTCTTTCAACTGAAGGTTTCCTCTGTTTAAAAATGCATTTCCTCCTCACTGTTATTAAGAGTTTAGTCATGAAGAGTTATTGGGTTTGTAAGGCTCTTCCAATATAAAGTCTTAGCATACATTGATGCTGTATAACCAGAATCCTTGATTAACCCGGGGAAAGCATTCAAAGTGCAGAGCAGGCCAAGAGTGCACCTAGGATCTTCTGATCAGTGGTCGGATGCGTTATCCATTCCACCAAGGGAGAAGTCTACTTGTCGTGTTTATGCTGCTATCAATAGTATACAGCGCCACAAAATCAAATCAGAAATCAGTGCTTTGAATCCCATGTTG